CCTGAGAAGAAGTGATTTTGAAATACGTTGGCAGTTAAAAAGACAATATCTTTGTTTCCCTTCTTATGTGAGATATGAACCCGCTGTCCTAGCGAAGTCACATGTGCTTAGTCAATTAGAATCTGAACAATCAACGATCTTTGACTCAGATTTTCTTTTTTCTTCTAATTGTGCAGACAAAATACTGCTACTTTTGCGAGATTTTTGATAACAGAGCGATGATATAAAGCAGAAAACGAGCTAATAAAGCTTCATCAACAGTTTTACAAAATATTCCAATTCTGTGAAAATATTAATTTAACATTTTTATGATGTTTTGAAAAATGATTTTAACATGACCTGTAAAAAGGATTAACATTCTGACCAGTCATAAACATACATTTAGAGAATTAACTTATAACGAATTCAACTTGCGAGTCCTTTGTTCTAAATTCAATGCCCTGCGGCGTGTACTCTTGTAAAATGTGCACTGGAACTCCCGAGTAGAGAAACGACAGCCATAAATTTGTTCTTTTTATTATTTTATCTCACCCGAGCACATTTTACGAGGATCTGTTCTCTGTAACAATGGTGCTTCATAGTGATCATGTCGTTGACACAATTGAGAGGCAATAATGCAGTTATTATTAACGTTAGAGTAGGATGACTTGGTCAAATTCTACTATCATTTCAGTGGTAATATATTCGTCGAGACATTTGAAATCTGATGTAATTTCGGAAAGTTGACATACTGATAGTGTTGCCACTTTTGTCAATTTGTAGTCACCTCTAAAAGATCGATTGTATTATCACAAGTAATACGGTATTAATAATTCTCAGGCATCATTATAATCTGTTCAGCATTTCAAAAGTTTTCGGACGGGAATTTACAAACTGTGCTACATAAAGCCCTTGGAGCTTAAGCCATTTGAAAGGGCCTCACAATAGTGCTGTCATAAGACTAGGAACTGAAGCAGTTCGCTGGTGAATTATTTTCATTCAATTAGTTCAATTATTCATTCAAAGTTATATAAGCCAAAAGAACAATCGCATGGGAAACGTAACAGAGAGAATGAAACGCGTCAATCCGAAGACAGCTGTCAATCAACAGACTTAACAGAAACATTTCATCGCCGAGAAATTAAGCAAATACCCGACGAATGTGATACTCGCTGGTATTCAAACAGAGGTAAAAGGCGTGTCGTCTCATTAGTTGAGCTAATTTAGTGTAGCGAATAAATTCAGTAGTCACTAAATTTATCTCCTGAGGGGCTGACAGAAAACATATTTTTACGAAACCATGTTCGTGTTTATAGGAAACCAAAGAAAATATTGAAGGGTTTTTCTCATTCAAAACCGAATGTAAATAATAGAGTAATATAGAAAAACTAGTTCAAGGGTCATAAAAACACTGCTAAAAATTTAATCTTATCAATAAATAAAGAAAAACATTTAGGGCATCTTGTAATTTAACACTGAAGAGCCTTTACTTCAGCAGTTTTAGGAAATACATTAATATCCACTGGACAACTTACTGATATAACAATTCCAAGTTTTTCCTTATTAATTTTTTGTTAATAAAATATCTTAATTACTTGAATCAAACTATCAACATTCCATTATGTTGTATATTCTATTATTATCCACTGGAAGAATAAGACTCTAATCTTTACAGTAAATGCTCACTTCTTTCAGAGAACCTTGCAAGTTTGCAGAGTTCAAGATTTTCCGATATTCTTGCATCAGCTATTAATTAATCTGAAAGCGAGCGTTCAAGTTTTGTAACTTCGTGTTATCAACGAAATTTAACCTATTTTTCTGCATTTCTTGAAGAGTTGGGTCTGTCACTAAATGCCAAGATGCACAAATTATTTGAGAAACACTTTTAAAATGAGAGACTAATTTCAAATGATAAATTATAACATTGTATTCGTTTAGTCAATTTATGATTTACTGTTATTGGTATTTATCCGCTGTCAGTAATTCTCCAAAATAAACAAATTGGTATAATATGTTTTGTTCTTGTTGTTGTTGTTGTTATTGTGAACGTACTTCAATTTGAACTATCAAAATCCATAACATAAAAAGAATTCTTAAAATGTGGTGTTTACATTAATCAAACTTTCATATGAATTTCAATTTATTTGAAATAGTCGAGGCAATTTGTCCTAGAACATACTTGTTTAATGGTTACAGTTATTACAACAGACATGAAATGTTGATATTGCTCAAAATGCAATCGGATATAACATTCCAAGTTTACACAAAAGAAAAATATTTACAGACAAAAGGTTATGAGGATCTCAGCCTCTATTGAAAATACTAGTATCTGACAAATAATGATCTTAAGGATTTATGAACGAACGCATAATTCTTAGACTATCATCCACTCTACACACCCACCCTCCTTTTTATTAAGTCATTCCATACAGAACATCAGTTTTAATAATTGACTGCCAATAGCAAATCACTACGTCAGATCTGAATTTGAGAAAGAAGAGGTGGAAGAGTTCTGAGGGGGATGATGAAGACAAAGGATGGAAGTTAAAATGATGGCAATGACAGGGGAGGTGGCGAGAACGAGGAGAATGGGTGCGATAGAAAGGAAAAAGGAGAGTGAGGATGGAACAATAGCGCAGGATGGGTCGATAGTACGATAACGATGAAGTTCCATTTTGCATTTCATTCGCTTCGAGTAAAATAAAGGCAAAGTTTCGTTAACTCATTATTCATTCATATCTCCGATTTAAATAATGAATTTCACAGTAGTTATTTGTTTATGGATTGTATAACGAGTGCGTTCTACTTATAGCAGAAATAAAATAAGATGTTTTCACACCAACAATTTTTTTGATGATTTTGTCAATTGTCATTCCCAAAAGTCAAATTGGAAAAGAGCAAGGGCTGCAGGGCGAGATGGAACGAGGATGCGAGAAGGTGAAAGAAGGGGAATATAGGCGAGGATGAGGGCTGGACACTAAAAGTGAAGGAGTTGTGGTTGAGGGAGAAAAAAATATACATCAGAATTAAACAAGCAAGAAACAAATTAATTCAACTTTGGCCATTAATCAACAAACGCGATTTTCTCATATATACAAACTGTACAATCATGTTAAACTATAAGAAAGTCACAAGTCAAAGTCACAAGTTCATAAAGTCAAAGGACAAACGCAGTCCCTACAAACACAAATCAACTACAACTCGCACAAAATAAATCTCTCAGATTAATCACAAACATCCCCGACTTCATAACAAATAAGTACTTTATGAAGAAACATCAACACAATAATAACCTATGTATCATACAACGTCTAAAAAAATTCAGGTTTACCAGCAGCATCCCATTTCAAACTAGCGAAAATCCAACACATAAACTAATAAAAAAATTCTAATTTGAAGTCTTTCTCAAAATTTTTGGCAACCAAGAGGCACATTCCCGAGGTTCTCCCCTAGAGTATCGTCTTAGATATGTATATTAAGTTAGCTCAGATTTTTAACGAGAGAACTCAACAACACATCTGCAAAGTGTTCAATGTATTATTCCATGTGAAAGTCTATAAATATGTTATGAATGAAAAAGAGGGGTGGCTAGAGGGTCATGACCGGACGGGGTTCGAGTGGCCTGGCGCTGAGTATGCGGCAATCGATGGGCGGTGCCCGTGCTGCCCTCTGGGCGAGAGTCCCAGTCGGCCTGCTGCCCCCGAGCAGAGGTGCCTGTGAGGAACGTGCGATAGGCAATATGAGAAACGTGCGATAACTTTAAATTGACTTTTCATCGATGTGGAGCATCGTTTGTCCTCCACTAATAAAATGGCCGTGGTTGATGGACATTGTGCCACTTACTCGTTATTAAAACAAAAGAGGCCTGTCCCTTCCGCTTTACGATTTAGTTACTTCTAAAGTGTATTGAAATGTGATGAATCACCAGATATAATATTCGTACGCAGAACATATTTGTCCTTGTTGACGTTTTACCTACAAGGGGGTCAAATTTCAAAATTGCCTGGCAGCGGGTCAACTTCAAGCAGTGACTGCCCTATCGACACATTTCAACTCCGTCAGCTGAATAACACATGGGTCACTGGACATTTCAGCAATGAAGTGAATGTATTGTTTTGAATATTTTGCAAACATAGGTGCACGTTGCGTTTGTGAAATTAGTTTGGAATCTTTTAGACTTTATTATACTTAATAATTCCAATCATTATACTCATTTCCCGTTCCCAGTATAATCGATCATTGCATGATTATAATGCCGTCAATCGAACAAAGCAGGTAATTGTGAACCGTTTCTAATAACCAAACACTTGATATGTAGTAATTAAAAATGTATTAATTCAATAATAGTAAATTTAATTATAAATAAACTTAAATGATATATTAATTTCAGCAATTTAAAACTAGAAGAACCCATACGATAAAAAACTGCAAGGTCAAATAAAACATAAAGGCAAATTAATAACCGCATTTCTGAAGTTTACACACATTATATTCATTGGGTTCGTCGTTTGATTTCTGCTATCATTTAATCGCAGTTATTTTACCTCTGCCTGGTACATCTAATATGGAATGTCAATTATTTACAAAATATGTATCGTAAGACATTACAATACGAGAGGGGAGAACAATTATCAAACGAGGCAGTTAAGCTGAGTTTCATAACCAATCAAGTATTATAATAAGATGTAACGACAATAATATCATATCATACAACGCTCTAGGCACATTGTAAACTTTCCAATTATCTCCAATTTTTGTTTAAATATGACTACTCGATCTGCGAAACGTATGTAGCCGATGTTTATAAAGTAATATAATTTATTTTGCACCTAATATTTAAATTAGTTTGCTAATTATCTATCTATTGACATGGATTTATTAGAACGCTTATTGCTCTCCGTTGCAAAATCTCTTATTACGAAACTGCCTTCCGTTTTGTGAAGTTTGGTCGTAAACGAGCGAAGCATATAGAGCTGCCCGTCGTTCGTTGCCTGAAAGTGGGCGCGCGTGTGCCTGCGCAGATCAACAACCGCACGGACCTGGTGCCGTGGGCGCGGCTGCAGCTGCGGTGGAACGACACCAAGAGCGACCCGGTGGTGGCGACGCGCGCCATCACCGAGATGGTGTGCGAGGGCGTGGCCGCCTTCTTCGGGCCCGAGGGCTCCTGCCACGTCGAGAGCATCGTCTCGCAGGCCTGGAACATCCCCATGATCGCCTACGTGAGTACCACAGCCATCTCTCTCTTATACTCGCACAGGAGGAGAATTGACGGGAAATCGCCTCCCTCCAGAGATATTGATGTTTCTTGCTGGGAATGCATTAAATCTATTATTTTATTTGGTCGAATTGATGATGATGATGATGATTGACAATCAACATTGTTACCAGTTTATTGTATTTTGATAATTACAACCATTGTATGAGAGACCAAATGTTTAGTAATATATTAAAACTATTCAATTATCTTAACAGTACATACAATAACACTTCGTACATACAGGAGTTTTACAGAAGAACATTTCAGCCCATCGTCAAGTTGACAATCAGTCATGTGTTATTACGAAATAAATGTATTGAGAAAGTATTATTTTGTCCTTACTAGGGGTTCAGTTAGTAGGCGTATCCTTCTGTGGAAAAATTCGCACCTTGTTTGGACAGTCTTCATGCTGACGCAAATGTATTATACATTCAGTTACAGCAATTACATTATACAAGCACATGTAATATAATATTTGTAACATATTTTTAATCAAACTTCAGTTTTCTTTTTATGTCTTATAAGCATGATATGATGTCAATGTGATCGTCATAAATCAATGAATTCACTAAAATGTTTCTGTAAACGACTTTCTGAGTTTTAGTCTCCTCACTCAATCTCTCAAGCGGAAAGTGCCAAAATTACGAGTAACATCTTTCACAGCCCGATATGGAACGCCAATATAGAATAGTGCGTTTTCTGTTGTTGTACTTTGCAAGAACGAATGCATTACGAACAAATGTGCCTTAAAATAAAATCTTCCGGTTTATCTAGGTATTTCCGCGCTGTAAATCGTTGTTAACATATTCCTTGTTTTCATTATTCTATTAATTAATAGCCCACCAAATTTGTCGAATGTACTTAAATATTTTAATTGAAAATTTGTAATTGTAAGCCTGAAAATTTGGAATGACAAAAATCAGGAAGTCATTAACTGTTCGGAAGCGTGATTTGAAAACGTGTGCCTCTAAAAGAGACTGCCGTTCTGCAATAAAACCAAAGACCTTCGATTAAAAAAAAGGGAGTGACAAAGAAAAAACGCCATTCCCGACAGAGTGCAAACTGGTCTATTGCAACCGAAGCCGCGACACACTTTCGGCTTTATTTTCGAAGCAGAGGCAGCAACATAAAACCGCGCTGTTTCTCGTCCACGTATCAACGCACGAAGTGGAGCACGCATCTGCTGGCCGGCGCAGCGCGGCGTTCGATAGCCGACCCGCGCGTGCGGCAGAGCTCCACGATCGTAATCAGGCTGCTCAGCCAGGAGCTGCCCCGGGCACAGTGGGACGCGCCTTCCGTGTTGCTACTTGGCTGTCTGGGACGCCGCCAACGTGGCGACCGTCATTCTACTACCCTCCTTATGGCATTTCGCTCTCCCACAGGGCATTTCGCCTTTCCTCAGGGCATTTCGCGCTTCCTCAGGGCATTTCGGGCTTCCTCAGGGGATTTCGCGCTTCCTCAGGGCATTTCGCGCTTCCTCAAGGCATTTCGCCCTTCCTCAGGGCATTTCGCGCTTCCTCAGGTTATTTCGCCCTTCCTCAGAGCATTTCGCCCTTCCTCAGAGCATTTTGCCCTTCCTCAGGGCATTTCGCTCTTCCTCAGGGCATTTCGTCCTTTCTCAGGGCATTTCGCGCTTCCTCAGGGAATAATAATAATAATAATAATAATAATAATAATAATAATAATAATAATAACAACAATTTATTTCCATGGCCGAACGAATGTGCGATCTGTTTAAGACGGTAAATGCGCATTTAAATGTTTTAAACATTCAGTTAACCAGGAATAATCTAATTAGTATTAAAATTAAATATTATTATAATGTCTTGTGTAATCATAAGTCAATGACGTAAATATGTATAAAGGTTTCAAAAAAACAAGAAATAAATTTGCAGGACGTAACATTTCATTTTGTACAATTACAAATAATTTTGGTAATTTAAGTTTTCCAAATTAAAAATACTTCAGTATCTATTCCTTTAAGGCAAGTAGTTTTATACACTATTGTGTGTGTGCAGACGAAGCCAGAAGTAAGTTAGAATAAGCATCTAACATTTAATTAAACTAATTTTTGTCGTGATTTGTGACATGTCCTACTGTGGCGCGACCTGGGACGGGGGACCCACTAACACGAACCGCCTGCCGTTCATGGCCTCCTGAGAACTGTCGTGTGGCCTGCGTACCACCCATATTCGAAGGCGCATTAAGATAAGAAAAACTGCACATGATGCGGTATCATACGCAGCGTTCATCACATGTAGCAGCCAACTTACGAACAAAATGGATTAGCGAAATTAATGTGTACTTGAAGTCGTGTCATAAACGGAGCACTGACAATTTTGTTTTTGGTTGGAGTAAGAGTTTAATTTTGAATATCGTTCTTCTTTTCAATAAATTTTGGGTGTAGTACACAAAAGTCGAAATCACACATGTGCTGAGGAAAGAAAATCCTAACTCTGTAAAAAATACTGTGTTCTCAAATGTATCATTCCGAACGGTGATAGTTACATGTTGTGTGAGTTCAACGTACTAGAAAAAGAATTAATGCAATATATAAGTGGCCCTTAATTATTCCCACAAAAAAACATAGAGAAATATCTTTATTTGAGGAAGTTTAAGGCAATCGATTTCTCTTCAAACTTTTTGTATTCAAAAAAATCAAGCGCCTTTCCTGCTTTAAGGTGGTCCATAAATTACGTAGCGCTGAAGAGGGGTGAGGAGGTTTGAGGCAGCGTTTCACTGCGTTACTTAGGGTGGCATAGGTTTAGTGTAACGTGATGCTGATATTTATTTTTAAAATCTTTCATCATTTGCTGAAATAATTCCTTTTATTCAGTCTTATACTAAAACATTACTATATTAACACATTAAATTAAAAATATAAAATAAATGAAAGAAGTTATATTTTGTTATTGTTTCAATAACATAATATATTTTTCGTCGTTGAAATATTGAGTGGATTTTTTAGACTACGAAAATAAATTTTCAATCCAATTAATCCATTCTAGAATAAAATTAGTTGGCGAAGTAGACTCAGCGCAATGCGTATTCGACATGTGCACGGCTCGTCAGAAAAGTTCTCGCATACGCATTCATCTTTCATCACAAAATTGTTATGCGCAGTCCCCAAACGTATTGTTATGCGCTGTCCGCACCACCAATTCTCACGTTGATTACAATAAATTTTAATGTATAACACAAATACAATTAATACAACTCGCTTCTGCTTTATAACTAAGTTTTACTTCTTGTAATTGGGAGGGTCTGTCACAAGCATTTGGTAATTAGTAGAGGGGGCACAAGCGCGCGATACAGGTGCGTTACAGGAGGGCGAGGGGGTATTCAAAATACCCGAAATTTGCGTTAGGCAATTTATGAACGGCCAATCACGTGTTCTTCGCTAAACACTTGCCGTGCGGCTGCGTGGAGCTGAAGCGGAGCGGAGGCCGGCAGCGACAAGTCCCGCCGCGGCGCTCGCTGCACCTGTGGGAGGGGTCGAGCCCGCGCGACTCGAAGCAGGAAAACGGCGCCGCCGCCGTCGCTGCGTGGGGCTCACCGCTGCCAACCTCTCCCACCCTCAGTCACCCGCGTGGCACAGCTGCGGCGCGTGTGGCCGTGCACAGTATTTCAATTGCGAAGCAGCAATTGCGAAGCAGTCGAAATGCCTTGAGAAAAAGAACGATACGTTTCTACGGGAAAAGGATTGCATCAAACGTCCTCAACTAACGAAGAGAGTATTAATCTTTACGTCGGAGTAATTTGTATAATATAAAGTGTCATTTTGATGGAGATAGTTTGTGGACAGGCACTGGTCGTTTTGGACTCCTTCTCTTACGTCATAACTTAATTTTAGTTGATAATATTGAATGAAATGCGAAAATACTCATCACAAAAAACATATTTATCTGTCTTGCTAACTACTTACTACGTAACAAAAAGCAAGAATTGCAAGGATGCTGCAACAAACAGTCATTTTCCAACAACAAAAGTCGTGTTGTAGATCCTTAATATTGAAAAAAGTGAATATTTTTTTCTTCCATACGAAATAAATTCTAACACGTGTAGTCAGAATCCATGTAGGCCTTTGACATTGAAAAACTTTTTTTATAGCGAAACGTCTATCTCTCTGTGACCAACGCTAGCGGCTAAACTACGAGCAGGGCGATGCCGCGACTCCTTAAATTTGAAACGGCTATTTTGATTTTGGGGGTAATTTACCTGAACTCAACACATATACAAAATTTTCTCAAAAATGAAAAATAAGTGTATTAATTTTTTATCAAATAGATCCAAATTGCTCAGGCGCTACTTTTGTAGAACTCTCTAAATTTTTCAAAATTTCAAAAGTTAAAAAATTCACGCGTCTTTCTACAACGAGAATATTGAAGATGGATTTTTTCTTAATGAAATATGTCCTTCAAAATTAGATATTTAAATGCGATCAGGCACACTTTTTTTCAAAATAAAAGTAGTTTTCAAGCAATTTTACACGAATTTAATGCACTTTTAAAAAAAGTTTCTAATAGTCAGTTCTAATTCTTTACTTAATTTGTTTCTCTAGCTGGGCGAATTCTGTTTATAAAAATAACGCGCACTCGAGGTCCGATTTTTTAGAAATGTCTGATTTTTTGAAAATTACAAAAGTCACAAATAATGCTAGTAAGAATGTTCCGTTGAAGCACCACTAATTTAAACAAGTAGCGCAATGGATTTTTCTTTAATTCTGTTTTCTATTATGAATAATTTGCTCAATGGTCTAGAATTTCTCTCGTCGACTTTCGAAACCATCCGAAAGATATGTCCGCGCATAATGTTCTCTCTTAAAGACCACCCAGAAATGACGTGGCAAGTTGCCCATTGAGCAGGGACAAATAACCTTCCGTATCTCATCAGTACAACCGAACCAGTTCAACGGTTGTGCTTACACCAACACACATAATGACGAACAAGCACGCGACAACG